CCACCCACCCCCAGTCCCCCTAACCCCCAGGAAAGCCACCCCCACCAGTCCACTCAACCCCCGGAATTTCCACCCACCCAGTCCACTAAACCCCCAGGATGGCCCCCCCCCCGCCAGTTTTCAACCAAAAAAAACGAAAAACCCCGGGTGCCAACCCCGCCCCCAATAAAACCCATTAATTTAACCCCCCGGGCCACCAACCCAAAGCCAAACGACCCAACAAACCCCGGTGACGCCGTTTCCCCAAACCCCTTGCCCCCCAAAAGTTTTTAACAAAGAATTTAACCCCCGCCCTTAATAAACCCCGGCTTTTTAAAGGAGATTAAAACCCCCGGGTCCCCCCAATTTAAACCCAGGATAAAAACCCCCAGTCCATTTTCAAGTTTTAATGAGTCCCCCTTTTAAAGATGCAAAAAGTTTCCCCATTTCCCCCTAAACCCGTCCCCAAATTATATGCCCCCCAACCCTCCCCCTCCCCTTCTAAAACCCCTTTTTTTGTAATTTTCGCCCAATTTCCACCTTCCCCCAAAACCCCGTTTTTAATTTCTTTCAAAACTTAATTTTCCAATTAAAATTTAATTTAAATTCCATGGAAAGTTTTTTTTCCCCTTTTTTCCCCTTTTTAAAACCCAAAAAAATCCCCCTAAAAACCAAAACTTGGGGTTGTTTGTACCAAAATTCCCACCCTACAATTAAATCTATTTTTAAAGTTAAAATTAAAATTTTTAAAATTTTCCTGTAACTTCCCCCAAATTTAAGGATTTTTCTATGGTTTCAATTTTCCTAAAGGGCCCCCGATTAACCCCCTTTATGGGGGGTTTTTTTTTTACAATTTAAAATTTTTTTTCCAAACCTCTTAACCAAGGGAAATGTAATACCCCCCCATTCTTGGGTTGACGGGGCCCCTTTGAAAATTAAAGTTTATTTTCCAAAATTTTTTCCCAAAAAAAAATAAAATTTTTTACCAAAAATAAAAAAAATTTTTTGAAATTTAAACCAAAATTTTATTTTTAAAAAAACAAGGGGAAAAAGGGGTTAAAGGGATATTTCGGCCCTTTGGGGGGGGATTAAGGCCCTTTAACTTTAAATTTGGGAAGGACAAGGTTCCCCAAATTTCCCTTTTAAAAAAAAAGGCCCCTTTTTTAAAATTTTAAGGAAACCTTTGCTTTTTAAAAGGGTTTAACCAAAAAAAAAATAATTTTTAAGAAGTTAATTTTTCCCGTTCAAAGGGGAACCCCCCAAAAAACCAATTTAAAACAATTAACCCTTTAAAAATATATAAATAACCAATTTTCAGAGTATTTTAACCCATAAATTTTCTGTTATTCTTTAAAAAAAATGATTTTTTTAAAAAAAATTATAAACCCCTTCAAAGAAATTTACAAAATTTTTTTCACAAAAATTTTTTAAATTTTGGATGTGAGTATTAATACTAGACCCCAATATGACAGCAGGATAAATATTCTCTTAGTCTGGAAGTGTGTTTCAAGTTTGAGATGGTGTGCAGTATATGATGTCTGGAATGTGTTCTCATTACCGTAATCAGTGCTAAATTATCATGTCTCTGCCTCTCGAACCCTCCATGCCCTCTCTAAAACCTTTTCCGTAATTTTCGTCTATTATACCACCTTCCAATCACCATAGATTTCTACATTCCCTTGATCAAAGTATCTTATTTTGCTCTATACATTCTTACCGATCCATTGGAACACCCCCGTCTTCTCCCTGAATTATACCCTTCATCCCATCACTCCATCTAATTTATTCACATCTTGTTAGAATATCTGTACAATATTCCCACTACATATTAATCTCATACTTAGTAATATCAGTGCCTGTAGCTTCCTCGCTGGAACATTCAAGGACTGTGCTTTGCACTCATACATAAGTGTTGGCATCTCTATACCCTTCTATGTTCTCCTTTTTTCATCAATGATAATTTTCTGTCAACTCTATTCAATGATAGTGTAATATTTTCCCAACTCTATTCTATGATAGTTAGTGCATATGATAGTGCACAGCTGGTCGTGACTGTAGTCAGTGTCCCCAACATTAGTAAATATTCTGTTGACCAGAGGTTGATTGTGATCCTCTAACCACCACAATTATTATTATTATAATCAAGGGGGAAGCGCTAAACCCGGAAGATTATACAGCGCTTGGGGGGGGGGGGATGTGGAAGGCATTCAGGCTTAATTCGGGGAACTGGAGCACAGATCCAATTCCCTAAATCAAGAGCCCCTCACCAACATCAAGGAACCTTCCTTGAGGGGTAACCACCACAATAATGTTGAAGCAGTTAAGTAACCAGTCAAGAACCACCATGAACGCTGGTGTAGTTAAAAGCAATTGCAACTTGTATATATACTACCAATAATTCAGAGTCATGTACCTATATATCTGTTATATCTATGTGACTCTGATGGGTTAGTATTATACCCCTTCAAGAATTTTCTATTATTTCACATACACTTTTTAAATTGCACCAAAGTGGTTGGGCCACTTACCTTTTATATCCTACCTCTCTCCCCCCTCCCACCCTTTTCCAATATTTCTATCCTTACCCATCCTTCTTCCTTACCCATCTTACCAAAGACTGTGGTCATAAAAAGAAGAAGGCTGCTTGAATGGAGTATAGCTGACTGGGTGGTTGGTTATGTGCGGAAGGTAGACCAGTGTAGGTAGAGAGATCTAGGTGATGTCTCTTTATCTTCGCAAGATAGATGACCAGACTTACCTGGAGTTCATTACCTTTGTAAATTGTGAGTTCATTACCTTTGTAAATTGTGAGTTCATTACCTTTGTAAATTGTGAGTTCATTACCTCTGTAACTTGCTCAGCTATCAAAACTTTGGAGTCCAGTCCCTGGACCAATTATGTACCTCTGTAATCTTTTGACTACCGCCCACAGGATGGGTATGGGGTGCATAATAAACATATTAAACTAACTTAAACTAACTGCCACCCACACCAGTCCACTAACACCCAGGATGCCACCCACACCAGTCCACTAACACCCAGGATGCCACCCACACCAGTCCACTAACACCCACGATGCCACCCACACCAGTCCACTAACACCCAGGATGCCACCCACGTCAGTCCACTAACACCCATGATGCCACCCACGCCAGTCCACTAACACCCAGGATGCCACCCACACCAGTCCACTAACACCCAGGATGCCACCCACACCAGTCCACTAACACCCAGGATGCCACCCACACCAGTCCACTAACACCTGGGTACCTACTTGCTTGATGAATGGGGCAGGTGTAAGGAAACATGCCCAGTGTTTCCACCTGCCCGAAATGCCCCGGCATGATAGTGGCTTTCTTAGTACTTAATTAACAAATTAAAATTGTAATTATATATTGTAACCTTTGTAAAGAAATTATCTTTATTCTTTTATTCTTTATTCTTTTCACCTGGCCGGCCGGTGATCGAACCCAGGACACTGTGTGTGTGTGAGGCCAGAGCGTTGTCTACCAGGCCACGGGACACCTTGTAATATCTTATTATGTAAACGTTAAAAGTTAAAACATGGTCATATGTTTTGCAAATGTAACTTAACTTAAATCAAGTCATTGTTCTATGTTGTGCAGATTTAACCTAACCTGAGGAAGCACAGCCTGATGTGACTACTCCGCCAGTGGTAGATATGGGATGGTCATGCTTTGGTTTACATTTGATTTGCCTTTGTTCACCTTTGCTGTGATGACCAGGAGCTGTAATACTAACCACTGATTGGACCTGACGTCCCACATGTCCCGAAGTAAATATTATTTTTCCTAATATTTCCCAAAATAGTAATTTCTACAAGAAATAAAAAATTTTGCTGAAATGTAGAAGGCGTCTTGTATTTTGTTAAAGAAAATCACAGGTGATTTGTCAAGAGGACTTAAGTGTCCATGTTACGTACTTTGGACACAGATAGTGCATCATTAGGTCATTTGAGAGATATTCAGCTCAGTAGTTTGTAGTACTTGACTTTTCCCCAGGATGCGACCCACAACGATCGACTAACTCCCAGGTACCTTTTTACTGAAGTTTAATAGGGACATTGGGTGTGAGGAGACTCACCCATATGTCTCAACCTGCCCAGGATACCACCAAAATGTTCATATGGAATAGTGAACTGGTCATGGACTGGGGCGTTGGGGCGTTGACCCCCAAAAGAATCTCCAGGTATACTCCAGGTATGGAGCTCAGACATCACAGGTGATACTACCATGGAGAAGAGTCTTGGTTACATTTATTTTCCTTATTTTCCAAGTACAGTGGACCCCCGCATAACGATCACCTCCCAATGCGACCAATTATGTAAGTGTATTTATGTAAGTGCGTTTGTACGTGTATGTTTGGGGGTCTGAAATGGACTAATCTACTTCTCAATATTCCTTATGGGAACAAATTCGGTCAGTATTGGCACCTGAACATACTTCTGGAATGAAAAAATATCGTTAACCGGGGGTCCACTGTATAACATTGCATTTACAGGTTAGGAGTTGTTAGTTCCTAGTCTACAGAGATGCCTCCATACAAATGTTACAGGTATACAATAGTGACAAGCTGATAAATAAAGCACATATGCAACACAATGGTATCTTTATATCCCTTATTTTGGAAATCAAGATACCGAGGTGTTGTGCATCTTGTTTACCTACCCTTAATATGACATTTTAGCTTGCTAAATATTTGACCAGTTCGCCATTACACATTAAATATAATTTCCCAGTGTATCTGTAATTGAATGTCTGGTATGGGGAGATATCTTCCTGCAAATTTTTTTCTACTATTTCACATTAATTTATCTGTCTTAATGTCTCTCTTATATTATTTTATAATACCCTTATTTCCAAAGATTGGTAATTTGTTGTAGCTTTTTCTGGTGCCATTAATACTCTTTTTGTTTTTTATCATGGTTTTTATCCTTTGAGGATAAGTCACTGCATCCTCATGAAAATGGACAATGGTTAATGATAATTACAGTACTGTGAACCATTTTCCTCTGTTTTACCTTCCCTGTTCAAGTTACTTTATATTGTCAGCACTCAGGTTTTGTAATATTTCAGGTTATAACAGAAATAGAAGGAAAGAAGATATTAGGGTTTGTTTGTGGCACACTACTTATGGTCCGCTTAAAGAATAGAAGACTAGACGGACATACTGCTCTTGAGAAATGCCTCATCCAGGACTGGCTAACCTACTGTGCCACGGACCTCTTCCACTGCCCCACCTTTGAGGTAAATAGTAATTTTTGTGTTAGCTTGAGATTAAATAAGTAGCATCTCTGTGGCTCATCTTTGCTTCTTAATTTCCAGTGGTGTCCTCGAGTTATCATTTCTTGCCTCTCAAACAGACTATCCCCGTCTACCTTATCAATTCCCCAGAAATGACCTATACACTTTCCTTCCAGATTCCACCCTCAGATTTATATTCCCTCTTAGTCATCCTGTTTTGCTCCATCCTCTCTGAATACCCAAACCACTTTAATAAACCCTCCTCAGCATTCTGAATTATACTTATACTAACCCACACTGTCTTCTAACCTCCATGCTATGAATTCTCTGCATAATATTTACACCACACATTGCTCTCAAACCTGACATCTCCACTGCTTCCAGCCTCCTCGCTACAATGTTTGAAGGCTATGCCTCACCCGCATATAAAAGTGTTGATGCTACTATACTTAGGTACAGTATTGTCCTCTTGGCCCCGCATAGATAAACTTTTCTTTCCACAGATGCCTTATTGCATTCATGAAGCACTAAACCCACAGGGGATATACAACACCAGGGGAGTAGGAGGCAGTCACATTCGACCCAAGGAAGGGGGGACATGTCCAGTTCCTTGGATCAAGAGCCCCTCACTAGCATCACCATTTTGTATTAAATGCCTTTTATTTTTTATTAAATTGTGCAGCTGTATAAATTGCAATGTTTGTATATTATAAACTCATTAAGTGCTAAATCCGAAAGGATCATACAGCGCAATGTTTGTATAAGTTATGCAGTCTTTTCATGTTTTTAAATATTTAGCATGTGCTGTAATTTTAATTTTAAAATCACGTTAAATGTGTTTTTTCTCATCAGACCCTCAATGTGTGTCTGCAGTACATCAATAAAGAGTTGGCACATCATTCTTACCTTTGTGGCTACACACTGAACATTGCTGATGTGGTCGTGTTCCTTGCACTTCATCCCTTCATTTCTAACTGGAGTTTCCTTCAGAAGGTAGTGCAGCAAAACCCTAATTTGTATGTACCATTTAAATATTTAGCTCTTGCTGCCCTCTTCCAAAGGGTAAAAACATTTTATAGCTTTTTCGTGTAATCACCTATTTGGGGTTACAGTATGTTAAGATGGAGAAGCATTGCAGTAGGTTTACAAGCCCATACTACATAGATTTTCCTTGATCTCAACCCTTCTCACTCACATATTTGTAATTTTTTTTTATATTAACACACTGGCTGATTCCCACCAAGGCAGGGTGGCCCAAAAAAAGAAAAACTTTCATCATCATTCACTCCATCACTGTCTTGCCAGATGGGTGCTTTACACTACAGTTCATAAAGCTGCAACATTAACACCCTCCTTTGGAGTGTAGACACTGCACTTCCCATCTCCAGGACTCAAGTCGGCCTGCCGGTTTCCCTGAATCCCTTGATAAATGTTACTTTGCTCACACTCCAACAGCACATCAAGTATTAAAAACCATTTGTCTCCATTCACTCCTATCAAATACACTCATGCATGCTTGCTGGAAGTCCAAGCCCCTCGCACACAAAACCTCCTTTACCCCCCCTCCAACCTTTCCTAGGCCAACCCCTACCCCACCTCCCCTCCACTACAGATTTATACACTCTCAAAGTCATTCTGTTTCACTCCATTCTCTCTACATGTCCAAGCCACCTCAACAACCCTTCCTCAGCCCTCTGGACAACAGTTTTGGCAATCCCGCACCTCCTCCTAACTTCCAAACTATGAATTCTCTGCATTATATTCACACCACACATTGCCCTCAGACATGACATCTCCACTGCCTCCAGCCTTCTTCTCACTGCAACATTCATCACCCATGCTTCACACCCATATAAGAGCATTGGTAAAACTATACTCTCATACATTCCCCTCTTTGTTTCCAAGGACAAAGTTCTTTGTCTCCACAGACTCCTAAGTGCACCACTCACCCTTTTCCCCTCATCAGTTCTGTGATTCACCTCATTTTTCATAGACCCATCTGCTGACACTTCCACTCCCAAATATCTGAATACATTTACTTCCTCCATACTCTCTCCCGCCAAGCTGATATCCAATCTTTCGTCACCTAATCTTTTTGTTATCCTCATAACCTTACTCTTTCCTATATTCACTATTAATTTTCTTCTTTTACATACCCTACCAAATTCATCCACCAACCTCTGCAACTTCTCTTCAGAATCTCCCAAGAGCACAGTGTCATCAGCAAAAAGCAAATGTGACAACTCCCACTTTGTGTCTGATTCTTTATCTTTTAACTCCACACTTCTTGCCAAGACCCTCACATTCACTTCTCTTACAACCCCATCTTCCTTTCTTTCTTTCAACACACCGGCCGTATCCCACAGAGGTGGGGTGACCCAAAAGGAAAAATGAAATTTTCTCCTTTTATATTTAGTAATACATGTATATACAGGAGAAGGGGTTACTAGCCCCTTGCTCCTGGCATTTTAGTCGCCTCTTGCGACACGCATGGCTTACGGAGGAAGAATTCTGTTCCACTTCCCCATGGAAACAACCCCATCTATAAATAGTATATTGAACAACCATAGTGACATCACATATCCTTGTCTAAGGCCTACTTATACTTTGAAATAATCTGCCTCTTTCTTACATGCTCTAACCTGAGCCTCACCATCCTCGTAAAAACTCTTCACTATTTTCAGTAACCTACCTCCTATATCACACACCTGCAACATCTGCCACATTGCCTCCCTATCCACCCTGTCATACACCTTTTCCAAATCCATAAATGCCACAAAAACCTCTTTAGCCTTATCTAAATGCTGTTCACCTATATGTTTCACTGTAAACACTGGGTCTACATACCCCCTACCTTTCCTAAAGCCTCCTTGTTCATCTCCTATCCTACTCTCCGGCTTACTCTTAATTCTTTCAGTAATAACTCTACCATACACTTTGCCAGGTATACTCAACAGACTTATCCCCCTATAATTTTTGCACTCTCTTTTGTCCCCTTTGCCTTTATACGAAGGAACTATGCACGCTCTCTGCCAATCCCTAGGTACCTTACCCTCTTCCATCCATACATTTATTAAATAATAGCACCAACCACTCCAAAACTATATCCCCACCTGCTTTTAACATTTCTATCTTTATCCCATCAATCCCAGCTGCCTTACTCCCTTTCATTCTACCCACTGCCTCACGAACTTCCCCAACACTCACAACTGACTCTTCCTCACTCCTACAAGATGTTATTCCTCCTTGCCCTATACACAAAATCACAGCTTCCCTATCTTCATCAACATTTAATAATTCCTCAAAATATTCCCTCCATCTTCCAGATACCTCTAACTCTCCATTTAACCCTTTCAGGGTTGACAGGCCCTCTCAGAGACTTGTTCTCAGGGTCCCCCAAATTTCAAAAAAAAAAAAATTATTTTTTCTTATGAAAAGATAGAGAATCTTTTCCCGATCATAATGACACCAAAAGTATGAAATTTGATGGAAAACTTACGGAATTATGCTCTCGCGAAGTTAGCAGTCTCGACGATGTTTACACATCGGCGATTTTGCCCACTTTGAGCCCTATTTTCGTCCAATTCCAGTGTACTTGTCGACAAAAATCATAACTATTTCTCTAGAACTCCATTTTTTCTATCGAATGAGTACAAGAAACCACCCATTTACCAATTTCAACTATCCAATAAAGTGGTCAGAATTTAGCAATTTTGCCAGTTTCACACAAATTTCAAAGGTGCCAATTTCCGAATAGGGTCCAGGATAAACAAGAAACACATTCCTGGCACTAAAATAACATTTCCTCTGTTTATTAGTACACTCCCCACACCCCTCTTACATTCTTTTGCTTTCCACTTTGAATTTTTATTCTCACAAAAAAATTGAAGATTTACTGTTATGCAGACTACTGCATTGGTGTAGAAATGGTATAAATAATATCAGCGCACTTGTGAAAGAATATTAGACTCACCAGTTGACATGTATTAGACACACAGCATGATTTGTTTACTTTTGAACTTTGGTAAAAATCGAACATTTCTGCTATTTTGAGCTCAATTTCAAGGTACTTTTCTTTGTAAAAACAGTCAAAATCATCTCAATTTCTGTAATATTTCTTCCATTCTATAAAATGAGACCAGGAAAACTAGAATACAACAATAAATACCATACAAAAATACACTGCAAAGTCGCTGTTTTAATCCAAAAACACGGTCAAAGTTTTTTTTTTTTTCTCATTACGCACTGTGTGCTGCAGGATTCTTTTTTATACCATGCACACTGACCACATAGACCCATTCTTTCATATGTAAGCCTACCAGCTTTCTCTCACTAGATTTGAGGGCACTAGAATTTAGGCGTACTAGAGCGTCAAAAACCCTGGCTCGTAAGCCATACTAGTACGGCCGAAACCCTGAGAGGGTTAATAACTCTCCTCTCCTATTTTTAACTGATAAATCCATTTGTTCCCTAGGCTTCCTCAACTTGTTAAGCTCTCCAAAACTTTTTCTTATTTTCAACAAAATTTGTTGATAACATCTCACCCACTCTCTAAATTTTCTTCACCACTCTCTTAACCTCTTAACCTTTTTATTTGTAAACTCTGGTATATTTAAAGTTACCAGGTATACCAAGAGAATTGCCAAACAGATATTTTCTACAGCCTTTTTAAATTTTAATTTAAACAAATTAAATTTATTATTTAAAGTTTTTTCTTGGTTAGATACTACTCAATGTCCTATACAGTATACAGGCAGGCTTCACTTTACAGTGTTTTGTTAATGCAGCAGTTTTCAGTTATACCCATTCTTCATTTATTCAGACTTCCTACTGTAAATATATTCACCACTCGCTTTAAGCTCAGGATGAAAATATTTTAAGGTAAGTAACATGTTTGTAAGTCCTCGACTTGCAAACATGTTGAGAATCTTCTGTATTGTGTGTAATATTAATTAACCCTTTGACTGTCACAGGCCCCTTTCTGAAACTGTCATTCTATGTCACAAAAGTTTTGGAAAAAAAAATTATTTTTTCTTATGAAATGATAGAGAATCTTTTCCCGATGGTAATGACACTAAAAGTACGAAATTTGGTCGAAAACTCATGGAATTACACTCCCACGAAGTTAGCGATCTCAGCGACATACACACATCGGCGATTTCACCTACTTTGAGCCCTGTTTTTGGCCAATTCCGTTGTTCTAGTTGACCAAACTCATAGCTATTTCTTTAGAACTCCATTTTTCTATCAGTTGAATACAAGAAACCGCCCATTTACCAATTTGAACTACCCAATAAAGTGGTCAGAAATTGGCAATTTGGCCAATTTCACACAAATTAAAAAAGATGCCAATTTCAAAATAGGGTCCAGAATAAACAATGCAGACATTCTTGGCACTAAAATAACATATCCTCTGTTCATTAGTCACGTCTCTAGGCCCCTCTTGTATTACTATTACTTTCTATTTTGATTTTTTTTCATACAAAAAATACAAAATTTACTGTTATGCAGACTAATGCATTATTGTAAAAATGGTATAAATAGTATCAGTGCACTAGCGAAAAACTATTAAACTCCCCAGTTGACGTGTATTGGACGTGTGGTGTAATTTGCTTACTCCTGAACATTGGTAAAAATCGAACATTTCTGCTACTTTGAGCTCAATTTCAAGGTCGTTTTCATCGTGAAAGTAATGAAAATCATCTCTATTTCTATAATATGTTTTCCATTTTATCACCTGAGATCATGAAAACGAGAATACAACAATAAATACTATAGGAAAATACACCTCAAAGTTGACATTTTAATCCAAAAAAACGGTCAGTTTTTTTTCTCATTACGCACTGCATGCTGCAGGATTTTTTTTTATGTGGTGCACACTGACCACACAGACCCATTCTCTCACATGTGGGCCTACCAGCTTTCTCCTGCTTGATTTGAAGCCGCTAGAATTTACGCGTATAAATACATCAGAAACAGTGGCACGTAAGACGTATATATACGACGTAAACAGTCTAAGGGTTAATATATCATTATTGTGTATAATATCATTATTATACATGATAGAGAAGGTCCCCAACATGTTCTTAAGTTAAAGACTTCTTGCATTATAAATGTTATACACAACATGTTTGTAAGTTGTCAACTTGCTCTACTATATATGCATTTTTTAGTCCTACCTCTTTTGCTAACTTAATACTGTATATGATAATGTAAACATGTTATCAGGCTTTTATATGTATTTGAAAGTGAAGAAAGGCTGTGTTTCACATTACAACAGTAGCTCAGAACTTAACCTGATGTATAAGTGGCCCTCTTGTATCATTACAACAGTAGCTCAGAACTTAACCTGATGTATAAGTGGCCCTCTTGTATCATTACAACAGTAGCTCAGAACTTAACCTGATGTATAAGTGGATCCTCTTGTATCATTACAACAGTAGCTCAGAACTTAACCTGATGTATAAGTGGCCCTCTTGTATCATTACAACAGTAGCTCAGAACTTAACCTGATGTATAAGTGGGCCCTCTTGATCATTACAACAGTAGCTCAGAACTTAACCTGATGTATAAGTGGATCCTCTTGTATCATTACAACAGTAGTTTCAGAACTTAACCTGATGTATAAGTGGCCCTCTTGTATCATTACAACAGTAGCTCAGAACTTAACCTGATGTATAAGTGGATCCTCTTGTATCATTACAACAGTAGCTCAGAACTTAACCTGATGTATAAGTTGGCCTCTCTGTATCATTACAACAGTAGCTCAGAACTTAACCTGATGTATAAGTGGCCCTCTTGTATCATTACAACAGTAGCTCAGAACTTAACCTGATGTATAAGTGGATCCTCTTGTATCATTACAACAGTAGCTCAGAACTTAACCTGATGTATAAGTGGCCCTCTTGTATCATTACAACAGTAGCTCAGAACTTAACCTGATGTATAAGTGGCCCTCTTGTATCATTACAACAGTAGCTCAGAACTTAACCTGATGTATAAGTGGATCCTCTTGTATCATTACAACAGTAGCTCAGAACTTAACCTGATGTATAAGTGGCCCTCTTGTATCATTACAACAGTAGCTCAGAACTTAACCTGATGTATAAGTGGCCCTCTTGTATATTTCTCCTGAACTGCACTTACAAATTTATAGTTAAGCATGTGGTGGTGTATTTTCAGTGTTTACTGTTGTAATTGTGCAAGTTTGCACTTTTACACAGATCTACCACTTATTTTGCAAATAAATTCTTTTCAGAATCATTGTTTGATGATTGTATATGCAATTATTACATCTATCTTTTCTTATATATCAAAAATGACATTTAAATTTATTCTATTTTATTTTGTAATTAATCTCTTGACTCTAGAAACAATTTTGCACCATGTCTTGAACTTTTTAAATTTGAATTTTTTTAGGCGAGAACAGAATATGACAGGTGTATATTCCAGCGAGAACAGAATATGACAGGTGTATATTCCAGTGAGAACAGAATATGACAGGTGTATATTCCAGCGAGAACAGAATATGACAGGTGTATATTCCAGTGAGAACAGAATATGACAGGTGTATATTCCATTTGAGAACAGAATATGACAGGTGTATATTCCAGCGAGAACAGAATATGACAGGTGTATATTCCAGCGAGAACAGATTATGACAGGTGTATATTCCAGTGAGAACAGAATATGACAGGTGTATATTCCAGTGAGAACAGAATATGACAGGTGTATATTCCAGTGAGAACAGAATATGACAGGTGTATATTCCAGTGAGAACAGAATATGACAGGTGTAATTCCAGTGAGAACAGAATATGACAGGTGTATATTCCAATGAGAACAGAATATGACAGGTGTATATTCCAGTGAGAACAGAATATGACAGGTGTATATTCCAGTGAGAACAGAATATGACAGGTGTATATTCCAGTGAGAACAGAATATGACAGGTGTATATTCCAGTGCGAACAGAAATGGACAGGTGTATATTCCAGTGAGAACAGAATATGACAGGTGTATATTCCAGTGAGAACAGAATATGACAGGTGTATATTCCAGCCTTGGTCTAGGGAGAATTTTAAGTATCTTTCAGCATTTGACATTTGGTTTATTTTGGATACAGAAATAATAGGCGGCATGAGGCTCAATCTCAGAATTTCTTTATTAAGGTTTTATTCTTTGGAAATTACAAAACTTATTTATTATGCTAAATGTATGATTTAAGATATTAACTGTCTTAAGAATATATTTTTATATAAAGAATCTTCAAAGTTCTGATAAAAATGTTTATTGTACAAATCTTTCTTCTTTCAACACACCGGCAGTATCCCACCAAGGCGGGGCAGCCCAAAAAGAAAAACGAAAGTTTCTCTTTAAAATTTAGTAATTTATATGGGAGAAGGGGTTACTAGCCCCTTGCTCCCTATTGTACAAATATTATAGGTTAATATTCTTTTTTAGAAAACATGACTACAGAAAATTTTAATCTGACACACCATTTCAAAACTTACGAGACAACTTTGAAAATTGCAGTTTTTGTCAGGGTTTAATTAATGTTCTGTTATTTTTCATGTGATCTTTTAAAAATGTATGTCAGTCATGTACAGTATATAGTAAGGCTTTATTTAATTTTTTATAAGAAATAGTAACTGCACATTCATTACCATTTACTAAATGGTACATAAAAACTATTAAAGTAACCACGACAGTGTAACAGATAAACTGACAAACTAAATTAGTATTACAAGCAGAACTAAATGCTAAACCCAGAAGGGTCATACAACACTACACTGTAGGGTCATGCTAAAGGTGTAATATACGTGATCAGAGACCAGCAAGAGTGAAGAGTGTGCCAGAAGTAGAGTTGGTAAGGGAGGTGAGGGGTGCTAAAGGGAACTATAATCAAAGTTGATGTAAATAGACTAAAGAATTCTAAAGTGAGGATACAATGCTTGCCATTTCCTGACAGTGTGGTGCTTTTACATACCTACCACTTATACTTACTATCCCTTGCTCAGTAATAACCCACGTGAAGACTTATACTTACTATCCCTTGCTCAGTAATAACCCACGTGAAGACTTATACTTACTATCCCTTGCTCAGTAATAACCCATGTGAAGACTTATACTACTATCCCTTGCTCAGTAATAACCACGTGAAGAATTTCTAACTTACTATCCCTTGCTCAGTAATAACCCACGTGAAGACTTATACTTACTATCCCTTGCTCAGTAATAACCCACGTGAAGACTTATACTTACTATCCCGTGCTCAGTAATAACCCACGTGAAGACCACACTTAAATTTCATTTTTTCATGTGGGTTATTATTGAGTGTTATCAAGTGTTTATTACATTTTCTTTAGTTACTACCAGGTATTTTTAGTGAGTAACGAGTGCATGATTTTTACTATTACATATACGTATATTATTTGTAACAGTTTTCCCTATTTTATTAACAGGAGCAATACATGAACATTTCCAGATGGTTCAGCGCTATGCAAAAGGACGAGAGCCTTCGAGAAACATATGCTCCAGTTCAGTTCTCTCGAACATTGTTGTACTGACAATATTAACTACCTGTTGAGAACATTGATTATAAAGAAAAAATGTCTTATTTATTTTCCTACAAGTCTATATATATTTCTTTTCTTTCAACACATCTGCTGTCTCCCACCAAGGCAGGGTGACCCAAAAAAGAAACACTTTCACCATCATTCTACACTTTCACCATCATTTACACATAATAATCATACATATATATATACGTACTCCATGTACATATTTCACTGAGTGAAATAGTGTACTATACTCTTGATTGGAGTCCAGCAATTAAGGGGATCACATATTTTGTTTTTTCAATAAAACTAGTTGACTAGAGAATTTTATTGGTAAATGACTTAGACATATGTGTCTGTGTCACAATGTGTATCTATCACTGCATACATCTGTGTAATGGCACGTGTCTCTCGGCACATACACCTGTGTATAAGGACACTCATCACTGGGTGATGGCTCGTGCTGTACGCTGGATGAGTTTCTTGAGCAGCTTACCCCAGCGTCGCAGCAGTAGACGTACAGCTCCATGCCCATGACTGAGGTCACTTGATAACTCCTCCAGCTGCACCGAAAACACCAAAGACAAATTAGTCCTAAAATCTGAGCAAGTATAGATGGATAGAGCCTCTCTTTCTGTAACTGCAGCAAGGGGCTTTTGATGCAGGGAATCTGATTTGTCTTCCCATTCCCTGGATGAAACCTGAATGCCTCCTATTCCCCAGGTGTTATATAAACCCTACAGGTTTGGCTCTTCCCTGATAAAAATAAGACCTATTACCTGCCCCACTAAGGGAGGTTCCATGATGCAGTAAGGTTAAGAAAATTATATTGCATCAGTCAGTTTTTTAAACTACGTTAAATAGTTTAGAAAACAACGACAAGTTGAAGAATGAGACACTGGGCAACTCTTGGTTATATTTACTGTGGAAACATTTCACCAGCCAAGACTGATGGACAGAACACGTTGACTCCAGGCCGAGGGACTGATTCCCCTCAAGCTACTACTCTTCCTCCATTCTTCACTGTATTGGACTGGTAAAGCCCTTGTGCCTTAGTGCTTCTTTTTGATTATAATAATAATAATAATAATTCACTGTATTGGACTGGTGAAGCCACTGGCTGGTGAAACGTTTCCAAGGTGGATTGAACCTGATAACGTCCCATTCATGAATGTAATGCAGTTCCTGTTAGCAGATAAAAGATGGAACTTCCATCACACTGGAGACCAGGACAACATGGCTGACATGTAGGTAAAAATTAAGTTGTGCTCAGGATTAAGCTTACTCTAGTCCAAAAAGCAGTGCTGTATGACTCTTTTGGGTTTAGTGCTTAAGTTGATGATGACAATCAGTCCTGAGGAAAAGGCTGTTTGAAGACAAACCCTTGTGTTGAATGGCCCACATGGGTTTACTGCTTTACATATAAAGTGTGCAAGTGAAAATGGCAGTTTTTAGTGCAAATATTGACCCTCGTAGGTTTAACACTGTTTTGATTATTATAATAATAATTGGTGCACATATAAAGATTATACTCATGGGTAATGCTTGACAGGTCATACAGCACCTAGGTTACTGGAGGTAATACTTGACAGGTCATAGAGCACCTAGGTTACTGGAGGTAATACTTGACAGGTCATAGAGCACCTAGGTTACTGGAGGTAATACTTGACAGGTCATAGAGCACCTAGGTTACTGGAGTAATACTTGACAGGTCATAGAGCACCTAGGTTACGGGAGGTAATACTTGACAGGTCATAGAGCACCTAGGTTACTGGAGGTAATACTTGACAGGTCATAGAGCACCTAGGTTACTGGAGGTAATACTTGACAGGTCATAGAGCACCTAGGTTACTGGAGGTAATGCTTGACAGGTCATAGAGCACCTAGGTTACTGGAGGTAATACTTGACAGGTCATAGAGCACCTAGGTTACTGGAGGTAATACTTGACAGGTCATAGAGCACCTAGGTTACTGGAGGTAATACTTGACAGGTCATAGAGCACCTAGGTTACTGGAGGTAATAATCAAGCTTGATCCAAGGAAATTTAGTGCTTCTTTTTTATTATAATAATTGATTCAAGGAAGAAGAGGTACAGTGGTCCCTCAATAATCGTCCATAATCCGTTCCTGGAAGTGGGACTATTATTGAAATGGACGATTTACGAATCAATTTTCCCCATAAGAAATAATGTAAATTCAATTAATCCGTTCCTGACACCCAGAAGTATTAAAACAAAAAATTTTTTTACATGAAATATATATGTAGTACATAAACAATACAGTGGCACATGATGAATTAAACATTAACAGAATAAAACTTACCTTTATTGGCGATTCTTCTTTGTGTATGGAAGACTGGAGAAGGGGACTGATTGGATGATTTATTGTTTGGAAGGGGAATCCCCTTCCATCAACACCTTGGGTACCAATTGCTTTTCTGGGGTTACTTCTCTTCTGTGTTTCTTAATGCCACTAGGACCACCTTGAGAGTCACTGGAGTTCTGTCTCGCAAAAAAACTGTCCAGAGAGCTCTGTTTCTGGCGTCTCTTTAAAACTTCCCTAAAATGGGCCAAGACTCTGTCACTGTACAAGTTGCCGATATGGCTTGCAACATCCTTCTCTGGGTGATGTTTCTCCATAAATCTTTCCATCCTACCCCACATTTCAAAAATCTCCTTAATTTCTGAAGAAGGCACCTTCTTCCATCTCTCTTCCTCCTCCTCTGCAGCAAGATTCTGAGCTGCGATCTGTTGCTCTTCCTGCTGAAGCTCTTGCAGCTCCTCAGTGGTTAGCTGTTCGTTGTGGTCCTCCACCAGCTCTTCCACATCCTCCAAACTCACATCCAACCCCATGGAACTCCCCAGTGCCACAATGGATTTAACAACTGACATAGGCTCATCAGGGTCAGCCCCAAACCCTTCAAAAATCCCTCTTGTGGACACAATCTGCCACAATTTTTCTCCAAGCAGAGTTCAAAGTCCTGGTAGTCACTCCCTCCCAAGCCTTACCTATAAGGCTTACGCAATGGAGAATACTGAAGTGTTCTTTCCAAAAATCTCGTAGGGTCAAGCGAGTGTCTGAGGTCACATTCAAGCACCTTTCAAACATTGCTTTGGTGTAGAGTTTTTTAAAGTTTGCAATGACCTGCTGGTCCATGGGCTGGGGGAGAGGAGTGGTATTCGGGGGCAAGAACTTTACTGTGATGAACCCAAACTCCTTCAGAATTAGGTCATCCAAGTTTGGAGGATGAGCAGGTGCATTGTCCGTTACTAGGAGGCACTTGAGATCCAATTTCTTTTCCAGGAGGTAATTCTTCACACTAGGGCCAAACACTTCATTGAACCACTCGACGAAAATTTCCCTCGTGACCCATGCCTTACTATTAGATTTCCAAAACACACACAATTTACTCTTCATAACATTGTTTTTCCTGAACACTCTGGGATTTTCAGAATGGTACACTAGTAATGACTTCACTTTGAAATCCCCACTAGCATTAGCACAGAACATTAGCGTCAGCCTGTCTTTCATAGGCTTGTGTCCTGGAGGGCCTTTTCCTCTTGTGTAATGAAGGTCCTCTTTGGCATTTTCTTCCAAAAGAGGCCTGTTTTGTCACAATTGAACACTTGTTCAGGTTTCAGTCCTTCACTGTTTATGTACTTCTTGAATTCATGCACATATTTTTCAGCCGCCTTGTGGTCCGAACTGGCAGTCTCACCATGCCTTACCACACTGTGTATGCCAGTACGCTTCTTAAATCTCTCAAACCAGCTTTTGCTGGCCTTAAAATCACTCACATCATCACTAGTTGCAGGCAATTTCTTTACCAAATCGTCATGCAACTGCCTAGCCTGTTCACAAATAAGCAACATCATAAGACTATCTCCTGCTAATTGTTTCTCATTTATCCACACCAATAATAACTTCTCAACCTCTTCCAGTACTGGTGATCTCATTTTTGTCAGCATATTTACCCCCTTTGCAACAACAGTGTCCTTGATTTCCTTTTTCTTGGCTATGATGGAAGATATGGTTGTACGGGATTTGTTATACATCCTGGCCAGTTCGCCCACACGTACGCCACTGTCATATTGTTCAATGATGTTTTTTTCAAATTCAAATTCAAATTCAAAGTTTATTCTCTATAAGGATTACAATGCTGAGTTTACAGAAATTTGGTTATTGTGTGGTTTACATGTAGTAAAATTGTGATTACAGAGTGTACCACTAGAACGCTTAGCATGGCTAGGCATTTCGGGCATACTTAGTTTTATTCTTAATTGTAAAATATTACAAATTATGAGGTAAGTTGGTATTATGGCTAAGTGACTAAATACTAGTTTGTGAGTTTAGCAATGTGAATGCTTTTGTTTTGGCACAGTACATAGTTTCAGTATTGGAGTATCACAGGATTCATTATTTTAAGATTGAGATTAATATTTCTGTTTATGGTCAAATGAGTGAGTGAGTGTAAGTGTGAACCACCAGGTGGTATTCGTGTAGTTAGTTGACGGGGTGTATCAGGGAGATAAGATGTTTTCTAATGGTAGTTTTGAAGGTGATGAATGTGTCTGCAGTTCTAGAGTTCTCAGGTAGGGTATTCCAGATTTTAGGGCCTTTGACATACATTGAATTTTTGTAAAGGTTTAGTCGGACACGGGGAATGTCGTAGAGATGTTTGTGTCTGGTGTTATGCCTGTGGGTTCTGTCACAACTATCAAGAAAGCGTTTTAGGTCAAGGTTGATATTAGAGTTTAAGGCCCTGTAGATGTAGATTGCATAGTAGTAAGTGTGGATGTACTGAACTGGGAGTAAGTTTAGGTCTATGAAGAGTGGGGGGGGGGTGTTGCCAGGGATGGGATTTAGTGATTATTCTTACTGCAGCTTTTTGTTGGGTTATTATTGGCTTTAGGTGTGTTGCTGCAGTTGATCCCCAAGCACAAATAGCATAGGTGAGGTATGGATAAATAAGTGAGTGGTCTCAACTATTGGATCACTACTACAAGTAGTGAGTGGTCTCAACTATTGGATCACTACGACAAGGTCCTAAATGCACTAGAAGACAAAAAGAATGCAGATGTAATATATACAGACTTTGCAAAAGCCTTCGACAAGTGTGACCATGGCGTAATAGCGCACAAAATGCGTGCTAAAGGAATAACAGGAAAAGTCGGTCGATGGATCTATAATTTCCTCACTAACAGAACACAGAGAGTAGTCGTCAACAGAGTAAAGTCCGAGGCAGCTACAGTGAAAAGCTCTGTTCCACAAGGCACAGTACTCGCTCCCATCCTGTTCCTCATCCTCATATCCGACATAGACAAGGATGTCAGCCACAGCACCGTGTTTTCCTTTGCAGATGACACCCGAATTTGCATGACAGTGTCTTCCATTGCAGACACTGCAAGGCTCCAGGCGGACATCAACCAAATCTTTCAGTGGGCTGCAGAAAACAATATGAAGTTCAACGATGAGAAATTTCAATTACTCAGATATGGTAAACATGAGGAAATTAAATCTTCATCAGAGTACAAAACAAATTCTGGCCACAAAATAGAGCGAAACACCAACGTCAAAGACCTGGGAGTGATCATGTCGGAGGATCTCACCTTCAAGGACCATAACATTGTATCAATCGCATCTGCTAGAAAAAATGACAGGATGGATAATGAGAACCTTCAAAACTAGGGAGGCCAAGCCCATGATGACACTCTTCAGGTCACTTGTTCTATCTAGGCTGGAATATTGCTGCACACTAACAGCACCTTTCAAGGCAGGTGAAATTGCCGACCTAGAAAATGTACAGAGAACTTTCACGGGCGCATAACGGAGATAAAACACCTCAATTACTGGGAGCGCTTGAGGTTCCTAAACCTGTATTCCCTGGAATGCAGGAGGGAGAGATACATGATTATATACACCTGGAAAATCCTAGAGGGCCCTAGTACCGAACTTGCACAACGAAAATCACTCACTACGAAAGCAAAAGACTTGGCAGACGATGCACCATCCCCCCAATGAAAAGCAGGGGTGTCACTAGCATGTTAAGAGACCATACAATAAGTGTCAGGGGCCCGAGACTGTTCAACTGCCTCCCAGCACACATAAGGGGGATTACCAACAGACCCCTGGCAGTCTTCAAGCTGGCACTGGACAAGCACCTAAAGTCAGTTCCTGATCAGCCGGGCTGTGGCTCGTACGTTGGTTTGTGTGCAGCCAGCAGCAACAGCCTGGTTGATCAGGCTCTGATCCACCAGGAGGCCTGGTCACAGACCGGGCCGCGGGGGCATTGACCCCCGGAACTCTCTCCAGGTAAACTCCAGGTATAGTGTGAGAAGGGCATTTTGCGGCACGTAGTATCATATCTTGGAGAGGATCCCAACCGTTTTGGATACTTTTTTGGTTATATGCTGGATATGGGTGCTGAAATTCAGGTTGTTGTCAAGGTATAAGCCTAGGAATTTTCCCCCATTATTTCTGGTAATTAGAGTGTTGTCAATCTTAATGTTAATTTGTGCATCTCCTGCTCTGCTACCAAACATAATATAGTAGGTTTTGTCAGTGTTAAGCGTAAGTTTATTGGCTGTCATCCAAGTCGATATTTTAATCAGCTCCTCATTCACAATGGTGTTGAGGGTGGCAAGATTAGGGTGAGAGATGACATAAGTCGTGTCATCAGCAAAGAGAATGGGTTTCAGGTGTTGGGATACGTTTGGAAGGTCATTGATGTATATGAGGAAGAGCAGGGGACCAAGGACACTTCCCTGCGGAACTCCAGTATCAAGTGGCCGTGTTGCTGATGCTGTGTCTTTAATGGTGACGTACTGATACCTATTAGTAATGTAAGATTTGATATAAGCAAGCGCATGGCCTCTTATACCGTAATGATCAAGTTTGTGGAGTAGGATGTCGTGGTCTACTGTGTCAAAAGCTTTTCTTAGGTCAATAAAAATTCCTAGTGGATGTTCCTTATTTTCCAATGCTGTGTAAAGCAGATCTAGCATTTTTATGATTGCATCATTAGTGCTTTTATTTTTCCTGAATCCAAACTGGCAGGGGTTGAGTATGTTTTGAGCCGTTATAAATGAATACAGTCTCCTGTGCACGAGTTTCTCAAAGATTTTGGATAGCAATGGTAAGTTAGATATTGGCCTATAGTTGTTTAAGTCTGTAGGGTCACCACCTTTATGTATTGGTGTAACCCTTGCCATCTTGAGTAGTTTCGGGAAGGTGCTAGTCTCTAGTGACTTGTTAAAAAGTAATGAAATAGCATGAGAAAGGACATGGGCCGCTCGCTTGTACAGTAATGGTGGGACATGAGACAGATTCCCCGAGTTATTTTTAAGTGACTTTATAATCTCAATGACTTTCTTAAAATGACTTTCTTAAATTCAGTCGTATTTCTCACCTTCTTTACCAAAGGCTTGGCACTAGGAGCTTTCTTTGGAGCCATGGTAGCTTATTTAGCACTTAAATAACTTGCAAGCACTAAAATAAATGGAATATTATGAAATATTTCGCTGGAGCACGTGAGGGGACCGTCGCTCACTGGTAAACAATGGTACACTGGCTGGGAAGAAAAGGCCAAGGTGGCTCAGAGCATGAGTACGCGTCTGGGACAAAGGACTATTAGCGAGTTACCGGACCATTTGCGAGCCAATATTTTGACGAAAAAACAGGACTACAGTGGACCCCCGCTTTACGATCACCTCCCAATGCGACCAATTATGTAAGTGTATTTATGTCAGTGCGTTTGTACGTGTATGTTTGGGGCTGAAATGGACTAATCTAATTCACAATATTTCTTATGGGAACAAATTTGTTCAGTACTGGCACCTGAACATACTTCTGGAATGAAATAATATCGTAAACCGGAGGTCCACTGTATTTCCGAAATGGACGACTTTCAGGCGGACGATTATTGAGGGACCACTGTATTTTCATTTTCTTGGCCCCTCGAGGAAAGTTCCTTGAAGCTGATGAGGGGGGCTTTTGATCCAGGAGATTTGATGTGTTCCCCTTTCCTTGGATCAAACCTGAAAGCCTCCTTTTAAAAAAACCTCCTAGGTGCTGTATAACACTCATGTGTTTAGCACCCATCCATGAATGTAATAATCCAATTCCTTGGATCAAAAACTTAACAAGCATCAAGGCATCTCCCTAGAAGAGGAAAAAGTAAGGCAAATACTGTATATTTTGATAAAAAATTTAAGATATATATTTCATTTTCCCCATGTACAGGAATACTAGTGGCAGTGCAGCCATGATACAAGTGTATATTATTATTGTTGTTATTATTAATCATCATTAAAAACAATGGGTAAACCCGTACAGGTCACACTTCGTAAGGGATTCCAGCACACAAGACCTCATGATAAAAGTTTACAAAGGCTAGAAGTATTTACTGTGTGGGTCTACATTACCTCCACTAACCTAACCAACTCTCGTGCACCCCCTTACCCACAGTACTCTGTGACCCATACTGGTTTAGAACATAGAATTGTTATCTTACTGAACGGGTTGTTGGAGTGATGTTGGGTGGAAGGAGTAACACCTGTGTGTTGAACACACAAGTGTGCACATAACACTGATGATCTCTCATTTTGCAAATGCTATATGCCCCATACAGGTTTAGGGCTTCCCCAAATATGTAATAAAAATGCACAAGCAGATGTTTGGACATTGAGGTTTAGGTACATGATCTCCTGTGGTGGTGTGGACTCAGCTGTACATTATTATAGTACTGTAAGAGTCAGGAGTGAGTTGTAGTGTTGTGGGAGTGGAATGTGGTGATATGGGAGTGAGTTGGAGTGGTGTGGGAGTGAGTTGTAGTGGTATGGTGTGGGAGTTAAACCACGGAACAGACAGGGATTGAACCTATGGCAAGTGGGTCATAAAACTCCAGGCCAGTGCATAAACCACTCACTCGTCACTGGTCCAGTTCTCATCTGTTCCCTGGTTTGGTGGTTTAGCAGTTCTTTTTGATTATAATAATAATCCCTGGTTTGGTTGCAACCATGTTATTATGATCTCGTGAGCCGTGTGGGAGTTGTAATACAACATTACATACTGTACCTTAGACTGGACCTGTTGTCTGACCCACTCAGGAGGGTAGGCTGCAGGCTGGAGCAGCAGGTTGGTGCTGGAGATACTCACTTCATTCTTCATCCATAGTACCTTGACTCGACCGTGTCTGCAGAAATGTGTTAATTAAACACTCACCTCTCACTACTGTCTCTTAAAGTATATCTTAAAGTATATCTTAAAGTATATCTCATTAATACTGACTGTTTTTTTATAACACTGTCAGTGTATCTTTTTAACCTTGACAGTTTTTAACTGAGCTAGGGTGAGTAAATGAAGGAAAATTAATTTTGTATCAAGTAATCCCTTGCCGTCTTTCCTTAGCTGCACTGATATCATAATTTAGATTATCCACCTTATTGCCACTATTTCCACCACCCTTTAGGGTTTAGGCACTGCACCTCCCACCATCCTTAAGAGTTCACGCACTGTACTTTCCATCCGAACTCAAGTCCAAATACCCCTCAAGGAAGGTTCCTTGATGTTGGTGAGGGGCTCTTGATTTAGGGAATTGGATCTGTGCTCCAGTTTCCCGAATTAAGCCTGAATGCCTTCCACATCCCCCCCCCCAGGCGCTGTATAATCCTCCGGGTTTAGCGCTTCCCCCTTGATTATAATATAATCAAGTCCAAATAAGCAGTTTTTGTGAAGCACTACAAACATTTCCATGCATACACTCCAACAGCACCTTAAATCCCCAAAAGTACTTGTCTGAACACAGATCTAAAGTGTACTTTAAGACCCACTTTAAAACCTCCTTCACCCCCTCCTTCCAACCCCCTCTGGAACATCCTTCACACCTGTCCACCCCACAGGTAGACTCGCTCGTGACCCAGCTTACCCTTTCTTTTTTAAACAACCAAACCCTGAAAATACACTTCATATCACCACATCGTTATTTTCGAATTTCCTCACACGTCATATACCTGGAGTATACCTGGAGAGGATTTTGGGGGTCAGCGCCCCCATGGCCCGGTCTGTGACAAGGCCTCATGGTGGATCAGGGTCTGATCAACCAGGCTGTTACTATATATTGCATAATATATGCACATAACTGATCTACATGACATTTACATTTCCTACAGGTTAGGTTAGGTAAGATTCGATGGGAAATTATTACAACTGTGTCGTGATATAGGCCTAACATAGCCTACCTCCTCTGTGTCTTACAATTATTACAACTGTATCATGACATAGGCCTAACATAGCCTACCTCCTAGCTGTCTTACAATCATTACAACTGTGTCATGACATAGGCCTAACATAGCCTACCTCCTCTCTGTCTTACAATCATTACAACTGTGTCGTGATATAGGCCTAACATAGCCTACCTCCTCTGTGTCTTACAATTATTACAACTATCATGACATAGGCCTAACATAGCCTACCTCCTAGCTGTCTTACAATCATTACAACTGTGTCATGACATAGGCCTAACATAGCCTACCTCCTCTCTGTCTTACAATTATTACAACTGTGTTGTGACATAGGCCTAACATAGCCTACCTCCTCTTTGTCTAACAATTATTACAACTCATGACATAGGCCTAACATAGCCTACCTCCTCTCTGTCTTACAATTACAACTGTGTCATGACATAGGCCTAACATAGCCTACCTCCTCTCTGGCTTACAATTATTACATCTGTGTCATGACATAGGCCTAACATAGCATACCTCCTGTCTTACAATTATTACAACTGTGTCATGACATAGGCCTAACATAGCCTACCTCCTCTCTCTTACAATTATTACAACTGTGTCGTGACATAGGCCTAATACAGCCTACCTCCTCTCTGTCTTACAATTATTACAACTGTGTCGTGACATAGGCCTAACATAGACTACCTCCTCTCTGTCTTACAATTATTACAACTGAGTCATGACATAGGCCTAACATAGCCTACCTATTCTCTGTCTTACAATTATTACAACTGTGTCATGACATAGGCCTAACATAGCCTACCTCCTCTCTGTCTTACAATTATTACAATTGTGTCATGACATAGGCCTAACATAGCCTACCTCCTCTCTGTCTTACAATTATTACAACTGTGTCATGACATAGGCCTAATACATCCTACCTCCTCTCTGTCTTACAATTATTACATGTGTTGTGACATAGGCCTAATATAGCCTACCTCCTCTCTGTCTTACAATTATTACAACTGTGTCATGACATAGGCCTAACATAGCCTACCTCCTCTCTGTCTTACAAAATTTTTACAACTGTGTCATGACAAAAGGCCTAACATAGCCTAAACCCCCTCTCTGTTTTTACAATTATTACAACTGTGTCGTGAATAGGCCTAACATAGAGTACCTCCTCTCTGTCTTACAATTATTACAACTGAGTCATGACATAGGCCTAACATAGCCTACCTATTCTCTGTCTTACAATTATTACAACTGTGTCATGACATAGGCCTAACATAGCCTACCTCCTCTCTGTCTTACAATTATTACAAATGTGTCATGACATAGGCCTAACATAGCCTACCTCCTCTCTGTCTTACAATTATTACAATTGTGTCATGACATAGGCCTAACATAGCCTACCTCCTCTCTGTCTTACAATTATTACAACTGTGTCATGACATAGGCCTAATACATCCTACCTCCTCTCTGTCTTACAATTATTACATGTGTTGTGACATAGGCCTAATATAGCCTACCTCCTCTCTGTCTTACAATTATTACAACTGTGTCATGACATACGCCTAACATAGCCTACCTCCTCTCTGTCTTACAATTATTACAAAGGTGTCATGACATAGGCCTAACATAGCCTACCTCCTCTCTGTCTTACAATTATTACAACTGTGTCATGACATAGGCCTAATACAGCCTACCTCCTCTCTGTCTTACAATTATTACATGTGTTGGGACATAGGCCTAACATAGCCTACCTCCTCTCTTACAATTATTACAACTGTGTCATGACATAGGCCTAATACAGCCTACCTCCTCTCTATCTTACAATTATTACAACTGTGTCATGACATAGGCCTAACATAGCCTACCTCCTCTCTGTCTTACAATTATTACAACTGTGTCATGACATAGGCCTAACAGCCTACCTCCTCTCTCACAATTATTACAACTGCATCATGACATAGGCCTAATACAGCCTACCTCCTCTCTCTTGCAATTATTGCAAGTGTTGTGACATAGGCCTAACATAGCCTACCTCCTCTCTGTCTTACAATTATTACAATTGTGTCATGGCATAGGCCTAACATAGCCTACCTCCTCTCTGTATTACAATTATTACAACTGTGTTGTGACATAGGCCTAATACAGCCTACCTCCTCTCTGTCTTACAATTATTACATATGTTGTGACATAGGCCTAATATAGCCTACCTCCTCTCTGTCTTACAATTATTACAACTGTGTCATGACATAGGCCTAACATAGCCTACCTCCTCTCTGTCTTATAATTATTACAAATGTCATGACATAGGCCTAATACGACCTACCTCCACTCTGTCTTACAATTATTACACATGTTGTGACATAGGCGTAACATAGCCTACCTCCTCTCTGTCTTACAATTATTACAACTGTGTCGTGACATAGGCATAATACAGCCTACCTCCTCTCTCTTACAATTATTACAACTGTGTCATGGCATAGGCCTAATACAGCCTACCTCCTCTCTGTCTTACAATTATTACAACTGTGTCATGACATAGGCCTAATACAGCCTACCTCCTCTCTATCTTACAATTATTACAACTGTCCTGACATAGGCCTAACATAGCCTACCTCCTCTCTATCTTACAATTATTACAACTGTGTCATGACATAGGCCTAACATAGCCTACCTCCTCTCTGTCTTACAATTATTACAACTGTGTCATGACATAGGCCTAATACAGCCTATCTCCTCTCTATCTTACAATTATTACAACTGTCCTGACATAGGCCTAACATAGCCTACCTCCTCTCTGTCTTACAATTATTAAAACTGTGTCATGACATAGGCCTAACATAGCTTACCTCCTCTCTGTCTTACAATTATTACAACTGTCCTGACATAGGCCTAACATAGCCTACCTCCTCGCTGTCTTACAATTATTACAACTGTGTTGTGACATAGGCCTAACATAGCCTACCTCCTCTCTTCTTAAAAATTTTTACAAATGTGTCAAGACAATAGGCCCAACAAGCCTACCTCCTCTCTGTCTTACAATTATTACAAGTGTCATGACAAAGGCCTAATACAGCCTACTCCTCTCTATCTTCAATTATTACAACGTGTCATGACATAAAGGGCCCAACATAGCCTACCTCCTCTCTGTCTTACAATTATTACAACTGTGTTGTGACATAGGCCTAACATAGCCTACCTCCTCTCTGTCTTACAATTATTACAAGTGTCATGACATAGGCCTAATACAGCCTACCTCCTCTCTATCTTTCAATTATCACAACTGTTTCATGACATTGGCCTAACATAGCCTACCTCCTCTCTGTCTTACAATTATTACAACTGTGTCATGACATAGGCCTAATACAGCCTACCTCCTCTCTATCTTACAATTATTACAACTGTGTCATGACATAGGCCTAATACAGCCTACCTCCTCTCTGTCTTACAATTATTACAACTGTGTTGTGACATAGGCCTAACATAGCCTACCTCCTCTCTGTCTTACAATTATTACATGTGTCTAGATGTAGGCCTAATACAGCCTACCTCCTCTCTGTCTTACAATTATTACATGTGTTGTGACATAGGCCTAATACAGCCTACCTCCTCTCTGTCTTACAATTATTACAACTCTGTCATGACATAGGCCTAACAGCCTACCCCCCTCTCCACCCAAATTTTTACAACTGGGGCATGACATAAACTAATACAACCCCCCGCCCCACCTCCTCTCTCTTGCAATTATTGCAAGTGTTGTGACATAGGCCTAACATAGCCTACCTCCTCTCTGTCTTACAATTATTACAATTGTGTCATGGCATAGGCCTAACATAGCCTACCTCCTCTCTGTCTTACAAATTAAATTTCAACTGTGTGTGACATAGCCTAATACAGCCCAACCTCCTCTCTGTCTTACAATTATTACAACGTCCTGACATAGGCCTAATATACCTACCTCCCCTCTGTCTTACAATTATTACAACTGTGGGCATGACATAGGCCTAACAAGCCTACCTCCTCTCTGTCTTACAATTTTACAACTGTGTCGTGACATAGGCCAACATAGCCTACCTCCTCTCTGTCCCTTTTAATTATTACAAAGTCATACATAGGCCTAATACAGCCTACCTCCACTCTGTCTTACAATTATTACACGTGTTGTGACATAGGCCTAACATAGCCTACCTCCTCTCTGTCTTACAATTATTACAACTGTGTCGTGACATAGGCCTAATACAGCCTACCTCCTCTCTCTTACAATTATTACAACTGTGTCATGGCATAGGCCTAATACAGCCTACCTCCTCTCTGTCTTACAATTATTACAACTGTGTCATGACATAGGCCTAAACAGCCAAACCCCCTCTCTATCTTACAATTATACAACTGTCCTGACATAGGCCTAACATAGCCTACCTCCTCTCTGTCTTACAATTATTACAACTGTGTCATGACATAGGCCTAACATAGCCTACCTCCTCTCTGTCTTACAATTATTACAACTGTGTCATGACATAGGCCAATACGCCTATCCCTCTCTATCTTTCAATTATTACAACTGTCCTGACATAGGCCTAACATAGCCTACCTCCTCTCTGTCTTACAATTATTACAACTGTGTCGTGACATAGGCCTAACACAGCCTACCTCCTCTCGTCCTTTCAATTATTAAAAACTGTGTCATGACATAGGCCTAACATAGCCTACCTCCTCTCTGTCTTACAATTATTACAAGTGTCATGACATAGGCCTAATACAGCCTACCTCCTCTCTATCTTTCAATTATTACAACTGTGTCATGACATAGGCCTAACATAGCCTACCTCCTCTCTGTCTTACAATTATTACAACTGTGTCGTGACATAGGCCTAACATAGCCTACCTCCTCTCTGCTTACAAATTTTTAAAAAGTGTCATGACATAGGCCTAACATAGCCTACCTCCTCTCTGTCTTACAATTATTATAACTGTGTCATGACATAGGCCTAATACAGCCTACCTCCTCTCTATCTTACAATTATTACAACTGTGTCATGACATAGGCCTAATACAGCCTACCTCCCTCTCTATCTTACAATTATTACAACGTGTCATGACATAGGCCTAACATAGCCTACCTCCTCTCTGTCTTACAATTATTACAACTGTGTTGTGACATAGGCCTAACATAGCCTACCTCCTCTCTGTCTTACAATTATTACAATGTCATGACATAGGCCTAACATAGCCTACCTCCACTCTTCTTACAATTATTACAACTGTGTTGACAAAAGGCCTAACATAGCCTACCCCTCTCTGTCTTACAATTATTACAACTGTCATGACATAGGCCTAACATAGCCTACCTCCTCTCTGTCTTACAATTATTACAACTCTGTCGTGACATAGGCCTAACATAGCCTACCTCCTGTCTTACAATTATTACAACTGTGTCATGACATAGGCCTAACATAGCCTACCTCCTCTCTGTCTTACAATTATTACAACTGTCATGACATAGGCCTAACATAGCCTACCTCCTCTCTGTCTTACAATTATTACAACTGTGTCATGACATAGGCCTAATACAGCCTACCTCCTCTCTATCTTACACTTATATAAAAACCTTCAACGTTTGCAACAATATACACTAATAAAATCCAATTTTTTTATCCTATGACAAATGCGTTTTTCTTAGAAGTTACAATGTGTGTTTGATAGTGAAATATGAACGTGACACACTAATAACATCTTGTTTGATAGTGAAATATGAACGTGACACACTAATAACATCTTGTTTGATAGTGAAATATGAACGTGACACACTAATAACATCTTGTTTGATAGTGAAATATGAACGTGACACACTAATAACATCTTGTTTGATAGTGAAATATGAACGTGACACACTAATAACATCTTGTTTGATAGTGAAATATGAACGTGACACACTAATAACATCTTGTGTTTGATAGTGAAATATGAACGTGACACACTAATAACATCTTGTTTGATAGTGAAATATGAACGTGACACACTAATAACATCTTGTGTTTGATAGTGAAATATGAACGTGACACACTAATAACATCTTGTTTGATAGTGAAATATGAACGTGACACACTAATAACATCTTGTTTGATAGTGAAATATGAACGTGACACACTAATAACATCTTGTTTGATAGTGAAATATGAACGTGACACACTAATAACATCTTGTTTGATAGTGAAATATGAACGTGACACACTAATAACATCTTGTTTGATAGTGAAATATGAACGTGACACACTAATAACATCTTGTGTTTGATAGTGAAATATGAACGTAACACACTAATAACATCTTGTGTTTGATAGTGAAATATGAACGTGACACACTAATAACATCTTGTTTGATAGTGAAATATGAACGTGACACACTAATAACATCTTGTGTTTGATAGTGAAATATGAACGTAACACACTAATAACATCTTGTTTGATAGTGAAATATGAACGTGACACACTAATAACACAGGATAAATTGTCAGTCAGGTGGGATTTATTGCCTGTGATATTAAATCTACGGTCTAACACACCCATATTTCTCTCTCTCTCTCTCTCTCTATCTCTCTCCTCTTCTCTCCTCTCTCTCTCTCTCTCTCTCTCTCTCTATTTACACTAATATATATATATATATATATATATATATATATATATATATATATATATATATATATAATATTATATATATATATATATATATATATACACTGATGTATATATAGTATATGTGGGTTTTGGCTGACCTTTGTGTGGAACGTCTGTGCGTGGAAGAGGTGTGGTGAGGGAGTGTAAGGTTGAGACGTGTGGTGAGGAAGATGGTGGGGGCGGTGAGGGTGAGGTCTCCGCTCTCCCTGAAGGTGAGGAAGCCCCCGGCACTCCCCCTCACCTGGTACTTGGCCCTCACCCTCACCTGAGTGAATGCCACCCTGATCACCCCCTCAGCTGTGTCTGGGGGTCGAGGCTTCTGTCCACGGCTGCTCTTCTTGCCACCCCGTGTGTTTTTCCTGCCGTGTTTATGTCCTCGTCTCCCTGAGGGAGCCCCACTGGGTATATCCTCAGTCTGTCTGTTCCAGTCACCAGTGTAGGGTTGGTCCTGGACGAGGTGATCCATATTCCAGTCCTTGATCAACGCAGCTGTTGGTGTCTGCTGCTGAAGGACCTCCCGTCCGGACACCTCGAAGCTCACCTGGCAGAAAAGATTTTTTTTAATTGAAATTCTCGGTATGAGCTAAACCCGTTGCGAGTCATGCAGCACCTGGGAAGTAAGTGCTAATAAGCTTTGATCAAGTGAAGAAAAGCCCCATTACCTTGGATCAAGAGACCAGAATTACCATCAGAATTACACACCACACACACACACACACACACACACACACACACACACACACACACACACACACACACACACACACACACACACTGGATCTTGTGCTCACCCTGAGCAGTTCAGACATTGACATCACATATGAGAGGCCCCTTGGAGCTAGTGATCACATGGTTCTGAGTTTTGATTACATAGTAGAGCTGCAAGTGGAGAGGGTAACAGGAGTAGATTGGGAAAAGCCAAACTATAAAAGGGGGGACTACACAGGAATGAGGAACTTCCTGCAGGAGGTTCAGTGGGACATAGAATTGGCAGGAAAGTCAGTGAATGAAATGATGGAATATGTAACAACAAAATGCAGGGAGGCAGAGTAAAATTTTGTTCCCAAGGGCAACAGAAGTAATGGGAAGACCAAAGCGAGTCCTTGGTTTACCCGAAGGTGTAGGGAGGCAAAAACTAAGTGCAACAGAGAATGAAAGAGGTACAGGAGGCAAAGGACCCAGAAAAATAAGGAGATCAGTCGAAGTGCCAGAAACGAGTATGCACAGATAAGGAGGGAGGCCCAGTGACAGTATGAAAACGACATAGCATCAAAAGTCAAGTCTGACCCGAAACTGCTGTATAGCCACATTAGGAGGAAGACAACAGTCAAAGACCAGGTGATCAGGCTGACTAAGGAAGGTGGGAACTCACCAGAAACGATCAAGTATGTGAGGAGCTCAACAAGAGATTTAAGTAAGTATTCACAGTGGAGACAGGAAGGACTATGGGAAGACAGGACAGAGGGGGACACCAACAGGGAATACACCAATAAGTGCTGGATGACATACACAACTGGGGAGGAGGTGAAGAAGCTGCTAAGTGACCTTGATACCTCAAATGCAGTGGGACCAGACAACGTCTCCCCGTGGGTCCTTAGAGATGGAGCAGAAATGCTGTGTGTTCCATTAACCACAATCTTCAACACATCCCTTGAAACTGGGCAACTACCTGAGATATGGAAAACGGCAAATGTAGTTCCCATTTTTAAAAAAAGGAGACAGAAAAGAGGCGCTAAACTACAAACCTGTTTCACTGACGTGTATAGTATGCAAAGTCATGGAGAAGATTATCAGGAGGAGAGTGGTGGAGCACCTGGAACAGAACAAGAGTATAAACGCCAACCAGCCTTCTGGAGTTTTATGATAAACTAACAAAAGTAAGAGACGAGAGTGAGGGGTGGGTTGATTGCATCTTCTTGGACTGCAGGAAGGCCTTCGACAGAGTTCCTCACAAGAGATTAGTGCAGAAACTAGAGGATCAGGTGCATATAATCGGGAAGGGCACTTCAATGGAACAGAGAATACCGGACAGGGAGGCAACAACGAGTCATGGTACGTATGAGGTATCACAGTGGGCATCTGTGGCGAGCGGGGTCCCGCTGGGGTCGGTCCTAGGACCAATGCTATTTTTGGTATATTTGAATGACATGATGGAAGGGATAGACTCAGAGGTGTCCCTGTTCGCAAATGATGTGAAGTTAATGAGGAGAATTAAATTAGATGAGGATCAGCCAGGCCTTCAAAGAGACCTGGACAGGCTGGACACGTGGTCCAGCAACTGGCTTCTCGAATTTCAACCCTGCCAAATGCAAAGTCATGAAGATCGGAGAAGGGCATAGAAGATCGCAGACAGAGTATAGGCTAGGTGGCCAACGACCGCAAACCTCGCTCAAGGAGAAAGATCTTGGCGTGAGTATAACACTGAACACGTCTCCGGAAGCACACATCAACCAGATAACTGCTGCAGCATATGGGCACCTGGCAAACCTGAGATTAGCTTTCTGATACCTAAATAAGAAATCTTTCAAGACACTGTACATCGTGTAAGTCATGCCCATACTGGAGTATGCAGCACCAGTTTGGAACCCTCACCGGGTCAAGCATGTTAATAAATTAGAGAAAGTGCAGAGGTTTGCGACAAGGTTAGTTCCAGAGCTAAGGGGATTGTCCTATGAAGAAAGGTTGAGGGAAATCGGCCTGACGACACTGGAGGACAGAAGGGATAGGGAAGACATGATAACGACATACAAAATACTGCGTGGAATAAACAGGGTGGACAGAGACAAGATGTTCCAGAAATGGGACACAGAAACAAGGGGTCATTCTTGGAAGTTGAAGACTCAGATGAGCCACAGGGATGTTAGGAAGCATTTCTTCAGTCATAGAGTTGTCAGGAAGTGGAACAGTCTGGCGAGCGATGTAGTGGAGGCAGGAACCATACATAGCTTTAAGACGAGGTATGATAAAGCTCATGTAGCAGGGAGAGAGAGGACCTAGTAGCGTTCAGTGAAGAGGCGGGGCCAGGAGCTGAGTCTCGGCCCCTGCAACTACAATTAGGTGTGTACACACACACACATTTTTAACTACCACAATAGTAATCACCATCCTTCTCACAATTAACAATGATGTCGGTACAGTCTCCTAATTAACAATTTTTATGATAATGTTTGTGAGTAATGTTGCCATAAGTGTCGCACCGGCGTCTACAATACTTATATTCTGCACCTGCAGAATGAGAGGTAATGAAGTTTGATCCTAGGAAGACGAAGATAACTCCACTACCTTGGATTAGAACCCTTCCAGCAACATCAAAACATTGCTCTAATAATGGCTTATAATACCGGCAAGTTGATAATTAAGACAAATGAACAACACTTAAGTAACTTTATGGAAGATTTATTTCACCTGCACAACAGTCTTCTTCAGTCGATTATAACATAGGAAACTAACTTTTAGAGGTGGTCAGTCCCTCAGCCTCAGCAGATCATGGAGTTACGTAAGGAGCTGTGAGAGGATTAAATCCTAAGTAGTTATTTTCCTTACGTTCGATTGTTTATTGTTTTGTGTTGTGATGAGGAACTGTTACTCTGTCTTTCACTATATTCATTTATAACAGCACAAAACATACTCAACCCCTGCCAATTTGGATTCAGGAAAAATAAAAGCACTAATGATGCAATCATAAAAATGCTAGATCTGCTTTACACAACATTGGAAAATAAGGAATATCCACTAGGAATTTTTATTGACCTAAGAAAAGCTTTTGACACAGTAGACCACGGCATCCTACTCCACAAACTTGACCATTACGGTATAAGAGGCCATGCGCTTGCATATTTCAAATCTTACCTTACTAATAGGTATCAGTATGTCACCATTAAAGACACAGCATCAACAACACGGCCACTTGATACTGGAGTTCCGCAGGGAAGTGTCCTTGGTCCCCTGCTCTTCCTCATATACATCAATGATCTTCCAAACGTATCCCAACACCTGAAACCCATTCTCTTTGCTGACGACACGACTTATGTCATCTCTCACCCTAATCTTGCCACCCTCAACACCATTGTTAACGAGGAGCTGATCAAAATATCGACTTGGATGACAGCTAATAAACTTACGCTTAACGTTGACAAAACCTACTATATTATGTTTGGTAGCAGAGCAGGAGATGCGCAAATTAACATTAAGCTCGACAACACTCTAATTACCAGGCATAATGAGGGCAAATTCCTAGGCCTATACCTCGACAACAACCTGAACTTCAGCACCCATATCCAACACATAACCAAAAAAGTATCCAAAACGGTTGGCATCCTCTCCAAGATACGATACTACGTACCGCAAACTGCCCTTCTCACACTATACCATTCACTTATATATCCATACCTCACCTATGCTATCTGTGCTTGGGGATCAACTGCAGTAGCACACCTAAAGCCAATAATAACCCAACAAAAAGCTGCAGTAAGAATAATCACTAAATCCCATCCCTGGCAACACCCCCCCCCCACTCTTCATAGATCTAAACTTACTCCCTGTTCAGTACATCCACACTTACTACTGTGCAATCTACATCTACAGGGCCTTAAATTCCAATATCAACCTTGACCTAAAACGCTTTCTTGATAGTTGTGACAGAACCCACAGGCATAACACCAGACACAAACATCTCTATGACATTCCCCGTGTCCGACTAAACCTTTACAAAAATTCAATGTGTGTCAAAGGTCCTAAAATCTGGAATACCCTACCTGAGAACTCTAGAACTGCAGACACATTCATCACCTTCAAAACTACTACCAGAAAACATCTTATCTCCCTGATACACCCTGTCAACTAATAATACGAATACCACCTGGTGGTTCACACTTACACTCACTCACCCATTTGACCATAAACAGAAATATCAATCTCAATCTCAAAATAATGAATCTTAACTAGTCAAAAGTTGGCCTGTGATACTCCAATACTGAAACTATGTACTGTGCCAAAACAAAAGCATTCACATTGCTAAACTCACAACTAGTATTTAGTCACTTAGCCATAATACCAACTTACCTCATAATTTTGTAATATTTTAAACTTAAGATTTAATTTAAGTCTGCCCGAAATGCCTAGCCATGCTAGGTGTTCTAGTGGTACACTCTGTAATTATTATTTTACTACATGTAAACCACACAATAAACAAATTCTGTAAACTCAGCATTGTAATACTTATAGAGAATAAAGTTTGAATTTGAATTGAATTGAATTGAATTACCCCTACAATTATAACAAGTTATATACTAAACGAAAAGTGAGGTGTAGCAGCTGGAGGTGAGGTCGCAAGTGATCGTGGCTCACTAATGGAAGGTCATGCTGAACAGTTTTTGAACAAAGGAGGTTACAGGAGACTTCCCCAGCACGAGGACAGTATGTTTCGCCGGTGGTGAGGCATGTAGACGGAGCTAGAAATACTGGACCAGAAATGGGGTGTGGTAGTAGCAGATGTCATCACAGGAAGTGGGGCCCAAGCAGCGCTGGCCCATGCTAAGCAAGTCCTTCTTAAATTCATCTTTTCTCACACATAAGACAGTATCAACAAGCAGTAGAGCAATACACCGTCTTATATAGCAAGATACCATGGTGCTGCTGTGTTGTATTTATGGTGAGCACCACCGCCCACACTTCACTTCTGCATCAATATAGCCACCCGTCTTTATGACTCTCCAGTGAATGGAACTGAACTTTTTAAGCAAGAGGTGCAGCAGTCGCAGGTGGTGTCACAATGGTCAAATGTGACACCACCTACGACTGCTGTACCTCTCCTGCCTACGGTATATAAGCTACTTCTCCGCAGATATGCTGTATTCTCTTCAAGATTGATGGACTGACCACATCGACTCAAGGCTGAGAGACTAATTACCTCAAACTCCTGTTCTTCACCGTTCTCCTTTGCACGGACTGGTGAAGCCACTTTGTGGCGAAACGTTTCCTCAATAAAGATACCCAAGAGTTGCACATGTGTCTAATTTATCAAAGTATGATAGATTGTTCTATACGTTTAGACAGTCGGAAATCGGGTCCCACTGTCCGTATAGCAGTATTTGGACTTTTCCAGAAAGTACAGCTTCTCCCGAAGGTTGGTGGAGGTGAGAATATGCCCCTGTCATATCTAAACAAATATTTCTGGTACCGGTTTGATGGAATACTGTAACAGGTAGCTAACAGGTAGGTAGGTGGTATCCTGTTCCCATATAACTATTCCCGTTATATGGGTAACCTCAGTATTCATCTCAAGAAGGTAAAATATTATATCAATAAAGACCCACGAGTGCTGCACCTGTCTTATTTAGCCACTTATCTCCACAAAACCGGGTGGATAGGCTTTAAACCTAGCAAAGCAAGAGGACTTACCTCCTGCACGGAGAGTGAACTGAGTCCTTCGAGAGTGAGATTATCTAGTAGCAACCTGAGTCTCAGAAGGTCACCCTCGTGGAGGTACTTGAGGGTTGAGGAGGAGTGGAGTGGTTCCAGGGGCCGGGACATACCCAGTCGTGGTTGTGGTAAGTGTGCAGAGCTACCCAGGGCGGCCAGACGTGACCATACCTTGTGGGCCAGGTCATGGGTCACCGGCAGAGGGGTAGTTGGCACCGTGGGAGGGTAGCCAGGGGGCGCTGCCGGAGGGTAGCCAGGGGGCGCTGCCGGAGGGTAGCCAGGGGGCGCTGCCGGAGGGTAGCCGGGGGGCGCTGCCGGTGGGTAGCCAGGGGGCGCTGCCGGAGGGTAGCCAGGGGGCGCTGCCGGTGGGTAGCCAGGGGGCGCTGCCGGAGGGTAGCCGGGGGGCGCTGCCGGTGGGTAGCCAGGGGGCGCTGCCGGTGGGTAGCCAGGGATTGCCGCTGTGAAATGGTCAGGATGCACTTTCGGAGAGTAGCCGGAGGGCCCGGCCGGAGGGTAATCAGGGGGCTCCGCTGGGGAATAGCCAGTGGGCAGAGTGGGAAGGTAGCCAGGGGGCGCTGCTGAGTCGTCTTCTGTGGCAGAGTAGCTCGGTCTTCCCTCCTCCAGAGGCCACGGTGCAACATGATCATCCTCAGCTACACGTACCTCACCTGTAAGTCAGCAAAATTAGACACAACTAGAGTGACCTGGAGAACTTGAGGAACAACATCTGCATGACTTGCAGGTGACCTGGTGTGTGTTCACTGAAGCCAGGTTCCCTGGTGGGTGTTCACTGAAGCCAGGTGGCCTGGTGTGTGTTCACTGAAGCCAGGTTCCCTGGTGTGTGTTCACTGAAGCCAGGTGACCTGGGTGTGTTCACTGAAGCCAGGTTCCCTGGGTGTTCACTGAAGCCAGGGGCCTGGTGTGTGTTCACTGAACCAGGTTCCCTGGTGTGTGTTCACTGAAGCCAGGTGACCTGGTGTGTGTTCACTGAAGCCAGGTTCCCTGGTGTGTGTTCACTGAAGCCAGGTGGCCTGGTGTGTGTTCACTGAAGCCAGGTGACCTGGTGTGTGTTCACTGAAGCCAGGTGACCTGGTGTGTGTTCACTGAAGCCAAGTGGCCTGGTGTGTGTTCACTGAACCAGGTTACCTGTGTGTGTTCACTGAAGCCAGGTGACCTGGTGTGTGTTCACTGAAGCCAGGTGGCCTGGTGTGTGTTCACTGAAGCCAGGTTACCTGTGTGTTCACTGAAGCCAAAGGGGACCTGGTGTTGACTGAAGCCAAGCGAACCCCGGTTTTTCACTGAAGCCAGGGACCTGGTGTTTACTGAAGCCAGGTGACCTGGTGTGTGTTCACTGAAGCCAGGTGACCTGGTGTGTGTTCACTGAAGCCAGGTGGCCTGGTGTGTGTTCACTGAAGCCAGGTGACCTGGTGTGTGTTCACTGAAGCCAGGTGGCCTGGTGTGTGTTCACTGAAGCCAGGTTACCTGGTGTGTTCACTGAAGCCAGGTGACCTGGTGTTGACTGAAGCCAAGCGACCCGGTGTTCACTGAAGCCAGGTGACCTGGTGTTCACTGAAGCCAGGTGACCTGGTGTATGTTCACTGAAGCCAGGTGACCTGGTGTGTATTCTCTGAATCCAGGTGACCTGGTGTGTGCTCACTGAAGCCAGGTGACCTGGTGTGTGTTCACTGAAGCCAGGTGACCTGGTGTGTGTTCACTGAAGCCAGGTTACCTGGTGTGTTCACTGAAACCATTTGACCTGGTGTGTGTTCACTGAAGCCAGGTGACCTGGTGTGTGCTCACTGAAGCCAGGTGACCTGGTGTGTGTTCACTGAAGCCAGGTTACCTGGTGTGTGTTCACTGAAGCCAGGTGACCAGGTGTGTGTTCACTGAAGCCAGGTGACTGGTCTGTGTTCATTGAAGCCAGGTGACCTGGTGTGTGTTCACTGAAGCCAGGTGACCTGGTGTGTGTTCACTGAAGCCAGGTGACCTGGGTTTTGTTCACTGAAGCCAATGACCGGTGTGTTTTTCACTGAAGCCAGGTGACCTGGTGCTCACTAAGCCAGGTGATCTGGTGTTCACTGAAGCCAGGTGACCTGGTGTTCACTGAAGCCAGGTGACCTGGTGTTCACTGAAGCCAAGTGAGCTGGTGTTCACTGAAGCCAGGTGACCTGGTGTTCACTGAAGCCAGGTGACCTGGTGTTCACTGAAGCCAGGTGACCTGATGTTCACTGAAGCCAGGTGAGCTGGTGTTCACTGAAGCCAGGTGAGCTGGTGTCACTGAAGCCAGTGACCTGGGTTCACTGAAGCCAGGTGACCTGGTGTTTCACTGAAGACAGGTGACCTGAAAGTTCACTGAAGCCAGGTGACCTGGTGTTAACTGAAGCCAGGTGACCTGGTGTTCACTGAAGCCAGGTGACCTGGTGTTCACTGAAGAGAGGTGACCTGGTGTTCACTGAAGCCAGGTGACCTGGTGTTCACTGAAGCCAGGTGACCTGGTGTTCACTGAAGCCAGGTGACCTGATGTTCACTGAAGCCAGGTGAGTTGGTGTTCACTGAAGCCAGGTGACCTGGTGTTCACTGAAGCCAGGTGACCTGGTGTTCACTGAAGCCAGGTGACCTGGTGTTCACTGAAGCCAGGTGACCTGGTGTTCACAGAAGCCAGGTGAGTTGGTGTTTCACTGAAGCCAGTGACCTGGTGTTCACTGAAGCCAGGTGACCTGGTGTTCACTGAAGCCAGGTTCCCTGGTGTGTGTTCACTGAAGCCAGGTGGCCTGGTGTGTGTTCACTGAAGCCAGGTTCCCTGGTGTGTGTTCACTGAAGCCAGGTGACCTGGTGTGTGTTCACTGAAGCCAGGTTCCCTGGTGTGTGTTCACTGAAGCTAGGTGGGCCCGGTGTGTGTTCACTGAAGCCAGGTTTTCTGGTGTGTGTTCACTGAAGCCCGGGGACCTGGTGTGTGTTCACTGAAGCCAGGGTTTCCCCGGTGTGTGTTCACTGAAGCCCAGGTGCCTGGTGTGTGTTCACTGAAGCCCGGTCACCTGGTGTGTGTTCACTGAAGCGAGGTGACCTGGTGTGTGTTCACTGAAGCCAGGTGGCCTGGTGTGTGTTCACTGAAGCCAGGTTACCTGGTGTGTGTTCACTGAAGCCAGGTGACCTGGTGTGTGTTCACTGAAGCCAGGTGGCCTGGTGTGTGTTCACTGAAGCCAGGTTACCTGGTGTGTTCACTGAAGCCAGGTGACCTGGTGTTGACTGAAGCCAAGCGACCCGGTGTTCACTGAAGCCAGGTGACCTGGTGTTCACTGAAGCCAGGTGACCTGGTGTGTGTTCACTGAAGCCAGGTGACCTGGTGTGTGTTCACTGAAGCCAGGTGACCTGGTGTGTGTTCACTGAAGCCAGGTGACCTGGTGTGTGTTCACTGAAGCCAGGTGGCCTGGTGTGTGTTCACTGAAGCCAGGTTACCTGGTGTGTTCACTAAGCCATGACCTGGTGTTGCACTGAAGCCAGTGACCCCTGGTGTTCACTGAAGCCAGGTGACTGGTGTGTTCACTGAAGCCAGTTGACCTGGTGTTGTTCACTGAAGCCAGGTGACCAGGTGTGTTTCACTGAAGCCAGGTGACTGTGTGTTCACTGAAGCCAGGTGACCTGGTGTGTGTTCACTGAAGCCAGGTGACCTGGTGTGTGTTCACTGAAGCCAGGTGACCTGGTGTGTGTCACTGAACCATGACCTGTTGTGTTCACTGAAGCCAGGTGACCGGTGTGGCTCACTGAAGCCAGGTGACTGGTGTTCACTGAAGCCAGGTTGACCTGTGTGTTCACTGAAGCCAGGTGACCTGGTGTTCACTGAAGCCAGGTGACTGTTGTGTTCACTGAAGCCAGGTGACCTGGTGTTGTCACTGAAGCCAGGTAGACCTTGTGTGTTCACTGAAGCCAGGTGACCTGGTGGTTCACTGAAGCCAGTGAGCTGGTGTGTTCACTGAAGCCAGGTGACTGTGTCTCACTGAAGCCAGTGACCTGGTGTTCACTGAAGCCAGGTGACCTGGTGTTCACTGAAGCCAGGTGACCTGGTGTTCACTGAAGCCAGGTGACCTGGTGTTCACTGAAGCCAGGTGACCTGGTGTTCACTGAAGCCAGGTGACCTGGTGTTCACTGAAGCCAGGTGACCTGGTGTTCACTGAAGCCAGGTGACCTGGTGTTCACTGAAGCCAGGTGACCTGGTGTTCACTGAAGCCAGGTGACCTGGTGTTCACTGAAGCCAGGTGACCTGATGTTCACTGAAGCCAGGTGACCTGGTGTTCACTGAAGCCAGGTGACCTGGTGTTCACTGAAGCCAGGTGACCTGGTGTTCACTTAAGAGAGTGATTGGTGTTCACTGAAGCCAGGTGACCTGGTGTTCACTGAAGCCAGGTGACCTGGGTTCACTGAAGCCAGGTGACCTGAGTATCACTAAGCCAGGTGACCTGGTGTTCACTGAAGCCAGGTGACCTGGTGTTCACTGAAGCCAGGTGACCTGGTGTTCACTGAAGCCAGGTGACCTGGTGTTCACTGAAGCCAGGTGACCGTATTCACTGAAGCCAGGTATGGTGTTCACTGAAGCCAGTGACCTGGTGTTCACTGAAGCCAGGTGACCTGGTGTTCACTAAGCCAGGTGACCTGGTGTTCACTGAAGCCAGGTGACCTGGTGTGTGTTCACTGAAGCCAGGTGACCTGGTGTGTGTTCACTGAAGCCAGATGACCTGGTGTGTGTTCACTGAAGCCAGGTGACCTGGTGCTCACTGAAGCCAGGTGATCTGGTATTCACTAAAGCCAGTGACTGGTGTTCATTCTACTGAACCATGTGACCTGGTGTTCACTGAAGCCAGGTGACCTGGTGATTCATGAAGCCAGTGACCTGTGTTCACTGATGCCAGGTGAGCTGTGTGTTCACTGAAGCCAGGTGAGCTGGTGGTTTCACTGAAGCCAGTGACCGGTGTGTGTTCACTGAAGCCTGGTGACCTGGTGTTCACTGAAGCCAGGTGACCTGGTGTTCACTGAAGCCAGGTGACCTGGTGTTCACTGAAGCCAGGTGACCTGGTGTTCACTGAAGCCAGTGAGACTGGTATTCACTGAAGAGGTGACCTGGTGTTCACGAAGCCAAGTTGACCTGGTGTTCACTGAAGCCAGGTGACCTGGTTTCACTGAAGCCAGGTGACTGTGTTTCACTGAAGCCAGGGGGCTGTGTTTTACTGAAGCCAGGTGACCGTGTTCACTGAAGCCAGGTGACCTGGTGTTCACTGAAGCCAGGTGACCTGTGTTCACTGAAGCCAGGTGACCTGGTTTCACTGAAGCCAGGGATGGTGTTCACGAAGCCAGGTGACCTGGGGTTCACTGAAGAGGTGACCGGGGTTCACTGAAGCCCAGGTCCCTTTTGTTTCACTGAAGCCAGGGGGCCTGTTGGTTCACTGAAAACCAGGTCCTGTGTTTCACTGAAGCCAGGTGAGGCTGGTGTTTTCCCCTTTAAACCAGGTTCCTGGTGTTCACTGAAGCCAGGTGGCCTTTGGGGTTCACTGAAGCCAGGTTACCTGTGGGTTCACTGAAGCCAGGTGACCTGGTTGGGTTTACTGAAGCAAGTGGGTTTCCTGGTTGTTGTTCACTGAAGCCAAAGGGGGCCTGGTGTGTTCACTGAAGCCAGGTA